GCGCATGCACTCTATATTTAACACATGCACCATGACCTCTGGCACATGCACTAGGTTCATGCCAATGCTATGGGCGCATGCTTTTGGAACTTAAGAGCAGGCGCCAGTACCCCTGACGCCTATGTGTATTTGATTAATTTTTTAAATTAAATTAATAACAAAATAATAATAAAAATAATAAATTCTAATATTATTCCATAAAATAGAATTACACAACGATTATAGATAATTTTAATAACCCGCTCGATTGTAATGCCCACCAATTCCACACCCGATGCATAAGCTTGTTGTCAAGGTCTCCCACAATTTCCCTGAGGTGTTTGGGATTTCCTAGTATTCTCCCAAGCCCGAGGTGTTTGGTGCGAGGTTCCTGGGATATTAGTGTTATCTAACAAATTGTTGATTATATCTCCCTAGTAGCCCACGCTTCCGTAATCGAGTTTGGTGCCCATGTTATTGCAGTTGGGTCGTGTTGGTTAGGTTACATGTGGGTGGATTGGTTAGTCGAATTGGAACATTGTTTCATTTTGGAAACGAAACAATGGTTGTTGGGGTGTTTAAAAGGCATGTGTTGGTTTAGTGCTTTGGCGGTATGATGTTTGGGTGCTTTGGTGGTGTGATGTTTGGGTGTACATTGGTTGGGTGCTATGATAGGATGTGGTGGTATCATATGCCTCATTGGTGCTATGGTAAGATGTGGTGGTGACATATGGTTGTTGGTAGTATGTCTCATGCTCTTGGTTTTGTATTTGGGTGTGTGACATGAATTGATTTCGGGTTTGAGTGTATGTGGTTTCATAATCATGTTTAGTTGGTTGTTGGGTGTATGTGCTATGATAATATTATGGGCTTTGTTGCTGGATTTGGGTGGGTTGAAAATGTTATTGGGTTGGTTGTTGGGCGTATGATGATGAAGCTCGTAGGCGTGGATCGATCAAATACCTCAGGTGAGACACAAAATGTGTTGTTGTAATCAATTTATACCAAACAAAGTCTCTCCAATCAAAAAAATTCCACTGGGCATCAACTCTAAGTTGATGCCATTGTCCCAAACACCCAAGGGGATCTGGGATTTGTTGTTTCATGTCGAACTGTAGTTTGACACGGTCACTATGGTGCATCTCCACATTAGTGAATGTGATGATTGCTATATTTACTGTCCAGACTACATCATCCTCGGGGTTAATCTCATGGTCGAGACCCATATATGACCTCCATATAAATTGTAGAGGAAAAATACATTATTATATTAGTAAATTGGTAATATTAAAGCTAAATTAACAAGACGATGAGTTGTTTAGTTGTATTACATCGTTTGGTCCAATGTGATCCAGAAGATTTTGGTAGACCATTATAGCGTGTTTAAGACATTTGTTGTAGTTCATCCCTTGAATGACCACCTAAAATAAAAATTGTAAAAATACCTTATTTATAGTATAAAGTAAGTAAGTGGAAATAATGATATAAATATTTTTTTGTTGCATATGGGAAGCCGTCCTTGTTGACGGGGGCTAGTAGCGACATTCTTGACCATCCCCATGCTTGGAGAAAAAAACGCAAGAATAAAACGAATAAGTATCCTTATATGCGTTTTTAAACAAAGAATTATATATATGAGACAAAATAGTTGAACCCTAACTATATATTCATAATTTATTTATGTCTCATAACAAAGGTAAATACATAATATTTACAGTATTACCAGTAATATCAGGAAATAAAAAATTACTACCAAATAGTATCATAATATAACACCAAGTTTTAATTATTCTTTCGTTCTAAATAGAATCTTTGGTTAATATCATATATGTATAATGTTTTGTAAGGTACTTTAGATTAATACCTTGGCCCCTCACCGATTCTTCAAACAATTTGGCACCTAAAAGTTGTTCGCATATTGTGCTGTCTTGGTTAACTCGACCATTAACAACCTTACCTTCAATAGGTAGACCCAACAACATCTACATGTCCTCTACTATGACGATACATTCACCAGTAAGAATATGAAATGTGTGTGTCTCGGGTTCCATCTTTCTACCAATGCAAGGATAAATTTATAATCAACAGAGTAGGAGAATATGTCAAGTAGATTACCAAAACTAGAAAGTCGTAAATACGGTTTTATTAACTCGTCGTGTGGGACATATTCATGTACACTAACAAAAGATAATTAAGTAAAAGTAAAAAATATATATAAGAATATTGTTTTACAAAAAATTATTAAGGTAACGAAAAACATATATTATTGTGAAATAAGAACTTATAAACTCTCCAATGTTGTTTATTGTTCCTCTATGTGTATCACTCATGGTCAATAGAGCCATATTTTGGAATGTTTCAGTGTGTTTGTTGATGATAAAAAGGATTACAGATAATATGTTTTTTGATGATGAAAATTAATTGAGTAAATGTAGTATTTATAGAGAGTTGAGAGTTTCACATGTTGTTGTTTCTACATGTAAGGAAACACATAGGCGCCTATGTCTTGGGCACATGCTCCTCTTTTTCTTCATATGCGCCAGTCAAGGTGGTGAATCCAGGGTCATACTAGGGTGGCATGCATTCATCTAGGGTGGATAGGTTGTCAGCATCTCATGTTTGCAACATGCAAGGGGATAGAACTTTATGTGACATGCCATATGTAATGTCACATATGTATATGCTATAAGGTATGCGCTAGACATAATGGCGCATGAGTTCATTTGGACCATGCTTTTTTTTGCAACTATATAAGTGCATTAGTCTCCTTATCTGAACTAAGTTACACTACTATCAAACCAAAATACACAGCTAGTAAACCAAAATACACTACTAGCAAACCAAAATTTTCACAAAATGACTCCTGCACCACAACATATCATCAATGCTCACATCAATGGTGAGACATTTGCATGTGAAATATCCGGTTTTAATTTTTTTAATACTGATATTACCAGTTTACAATAAATAAAAGATAAAATTTCTTGCATTTGAAAAAGAGAATAGAGGAGAAGTTGCAATCTAGTCCCGTGTTACAAATCATTTACAAAAATCCAATTGTTTTTGCCAATAAATAAGTCCAATTTTTTAGCTAAAGGTTCGAGATGATGAAGATATTCAAAATATGTTTGAACTCATGAACATTCTGGGTTCAATGATATTGAGTTGTATATATTACTACAACAACTTCAGTTGTCTCATATCGTTGATTCTTCACAAGTTTTTTTTTGCGAAACTGGCATCTGCTCGTGTATGGATTTTCTTTCTCAAGAATCTCCGATTACACATTGCTCTGCAACCTAACCTATGTTTGATTTCAGACATACATTCATCTATTGAGAGTGCATACAATAACCTTGATAACGGTTGGCAAGATCCTCCTTCTATGCATGTCTACTGCATTAGACATATCACATAAAACTTCATGCATAAGATCAGATACAAGATGCTTCAGAAAAAAGTTGTAAACACATGGTATGCATTAACAGAACCATCACTCCAACTCTATAGATAAGAGATCAGATTGACAAATGCAGATGTGCTAAAGTGGATCAATAATATTCCAGTGGAGAAGTGGACGAGGGAATTCGATTATGGTCAACGATGGGGTCAGTGAAGGTTCAAGAAACACACGAAAGGGGAGTTTGAATTAGATTTCAAGAATGATAGTTTTTCACAACCCAAAAACAACACCTTAAAACAAAAAAATGAATGATAAAGAACACAAGGATTTTTATCATGATTCGCCGTTAACAAGGGTACCCCATGTCCACCCACCTAGGTGATTTTCCTTCGACAAGGACTCAATCCAATACTAAACCATATTACAAGTGCAGTAATAACGTGTCCCGAATTTCTTCAGGAATCTGACCTAACTGGTCTTCTAAGAAAACTAACGGTCACTGACTCCTTAAGACCTGACCTACCTGATCGCTTAAGAATATTTCTCAATAACAACCTGTTACTGACTTCTCATGAGCCGAACCTAGCCTGATCGTTTGAGGATTACAATCAAAATTGTAATAATAGTTTGTGTTTACAAATGCTTCTCAAATGTGGATACACAAGTTTACAATCAAGTTTGACACTTAACAAGAATATACAATGATCTTTGTTCTAAGTGTATAAGTGCAAGCAACACTTCTTATATATATATATATATATATATATATATATATATATATATATATATATATATATATATATATATATATATATATATATATATATATATATATATATATATATATATATATATATATATATATATATATATATATATATATATATATATATATATATATATATATATATATATATATGTATATATGTATATATATGTATATATATATATGTATATATGTATATATGTATATATATGTATATATATGTATATATAGATTTTAGAAATATTTGAGTTATATTAGGGTTACAAGATAACTCAAAATCATATTCCTTTTCCCCCCTATTTGTCATGATAAAAAAATAGAGATACAATAAATCAGAAATAAAGAGAAAATAAAAAGCAACAGAAATTTTTTCATTAATTAACAAAATAATATAAAAGAGGATTATAAACAAGAAGACATTGTTTGAGGTTTGAGAGATGAGAATATTTTTTAGAGGCAGTACAAACAAGATGACACATCCTCTTTTGTGCGAATTTTTGTTTGTTTAAAACATGAGTATTTTTAGTATATAATTTGAAATATTGGTTATTTAAATATTAAATTTGAAAATTTTGATTATTTGAATAAAAATTGCCACAATTACTGCACAGTTTTCCACTATTATCACAATATTGGAATAAAAATAACATTAAAATTATACGATACTTTCATTAATTCATCAAGACAAAACAGACATTTGCAGCCATTATTTTAAATAACCCATCAAAGGGCACATTAGAGGCTATACCACATCTGTTGACTGATAAACAACAACAACAAAACAAACCAAAAACATAAAACAGAAACATGACACACAAATCAAACCACAAATCATTCGACAAGCTCAAATCATCAAGACCTTTTCTCAATCTGAACAACGCCACTCTCAGCAGGAGCATCACTCTTCTGATGAGTATGACCATGACAGCACTTATAACTCACAGAAGCAATCTCCATTGATCTCCCACAGCTACTATCAGGACAGTAGATTGGATCAAGAATATCAGCAGGATAATTAGCCAACTGCATATTAGCACAAGCCACGGGAAAATCCCGTCTCTTACGCTCATAATACTCCTTAAAAGCAACATCAAAACCAGCTTTCTCAAGCACTTTCTCCTTCCATATCTCGAAATCTATAGCAGTTGCTAACATTTGATCCCCACGGCCGAGTAGTTTCACGTTTGGTCCTTTGCTTAGTAGAACCCAACCTGGTTGGTCTTGTTTCAGACATAACAAGCTTTTGATTTCGTCTATGGTTGGGTCTTTGTGTTTCTTCTGAATCATGTTTGCGAATAGGCTCTCTATGCCTATCCAGAAACGCGGAACGATTCTTTTGTCTTCTTTACCGAAGTGGTATTGTTCTATCACAGCATCTGCTTTTCGGATGATTTCGTGCCTTCTGATTTTCTCTACTGCGAGGGAGAAATCGTTTGTCCATTTCGGGTCTGTTCCTCCATAGATGAAGATGAATGTGTCCCCTTTAATCTGATTCATCACAATGACACACATAAATATATATTAGAATTGATCAAAGAGTTATTTATTGAAACACATATCTATGAATGGAACGTGTCTGTGTTGGTGTGTGTCTGACACGGTCACACAGACGCCTTTTCTATAGGTATTGATGCTACGGAGTGATAGCATATTGCAATTTGGCACTTACAATTTCTTGAAGCTTTGGATAAACTTTCTTCATTTCAGCCCAAAACCAATTCCACTTTTGAGTTAGAACCTCATCATCATCGGGACGAAAAGGGAAAGCATCGATCCCCCAAACAAAAATCATATGCATAGCATTATAGTTCACAATTCTACCTTGAGAGTTCAGAACAGGTAGAATAGGCTTATTCTTGTAGTTTAAGTCTTCTCTTATCAACCTTATTCCAGCCAATGGATAAAAGTACTCAGCAACATACCATGGCATATCTAGTTTCAGATTATCGAATTCGGCTTTGTGGAGTAGTGTCCACTCATCCACAACTGGGATCCACAGAATCTTGAAATCTTCTTTTCTGTATCCTTTTAGTTCTCTTGGATCTTCATTGAGTCCAATGTAGATTGAATTGAGAAGACGGATTTCGTCTCGAATGCTGTCTAGGCCCGAAATGAATACCAACACATTTTTCTTTCTGAAAACTTCAATGCTAACCTGTTGAGGTACAAAAGTGAAAGAAGAAACATAGGATTTTGTCATGTTTTCAATAGATACATACCAAAAAACAAAACACACACGTCTTAAAATTTTGAAGACTCTATAGATTAGTCATAGTTCAACCTTGACAAAACAACTAAGGACCCTATTTTGTCATGGTTTAACCGTGACAAATCTGTTATGAGCCCTATTTAACCATAGTAACTATGTAGTCTATCTTGCACATTCTCAAAGACGGTCATGCTAAAATACAACAGTAACTTACCATTTCTCTTTTCAAACCATCATACACAAGTGGATCCTGAATTTCATTGTGGAAGATCAGAACTTTTATAACCTCTACAATTTCTGTTGGGGTTTGAAGTACCCTCTTACGTCTCCAGTAATCTTCAAGCTCACCTATGTGCCTTCTGCTTCTTGTGAGATGAGCCTTTAATTTGCTTACAATGGAAGCAAGTTTGACATCGAAACTCGATAACTCATACCTGTCATCCCTGAAACAATGTTGATTTTCTATTAGTAAGAGATTTCACCATTCAAACAATCAGCGTGTCAATGAGATCAAGATGAAAGAAAAAAGCTTACGATTCACCGACAAGAAGATCGAGGTGGTTAGCACAGATAATAGCAGTAATGATAGCCCAATAAACAGCAACAGGAATCTCTTGCATAGCTTCCGGCAATGCAGGAACATCTTTACTATCATACCCTTTTGTTGAAAGCTTCTCCAACTCAGTAATACACTCAACAGCATACAACAGATTCTTCACCAAACTGTTGTAATCCGCAATGGCTTGTCGATTTTTGTCAACACCTTGAACTTTATTCATTATTGCCAATGATCTTCCAAGCGTGTCACCGCTCGGTGTCTGAACAAGGTGCCAGAAATTTCCATATTCTAACGAAAATGCAGCTAAAGCAAAGATCGCTTTTCCATCCCAGGTATGTGTTTTCAGCTGGTCGAGAATCGACATTGTTGTCAGGTGCGCATGGTGTTCTCCGGGAAGCGTGGTCATCATCTACAAATCACAAGATTGATTAGAAATAAACATTTCCACTCGGATATAGAAATATAACTGAAAAATCCGATATAACAAAGATAAAGTGTGTAAAATAGGTAATAACCTGAGAAGAAATATGCTTCAGTTTACGGAAAGGAGGCTCGTAACCAGGTAACGGAACTTTGTCTTCAATGAGACCGACCGGAGCTCCAGTCTGTCAAAGATAATACAACATTTTTAGAAGCGGAAGCTTTTCATATTAGTTATAATAAGTTGTTACAAATTTGTACCTTAGAGACGACACTGTCAGCAACGGCGGTGGAGCGTTTGAGAATGTTTGAAGTGAGAATGAAAAGCGATTCCACGTCGAACCTTTCACCGGTGTGGACGTGAGTAATGTAAACGGTTTCGAGGATCTTGTCATCAGTCCATGTCAATGGGTTTGAGGTTTTGGCTTGTTGATAAGATGAAACGCTGTTTGCAAGTGAAGTTGCAAGTGAAGCTGGTGCAATTGAAGACGACAT